TCCATATCGATTTGTTCCCATGGGCGATAGATTGGAGCGATATTATTCGTATAGCTTTTCTCTTGTTTTTTTGCGAATCTCCCGATTTGGATGAATGGTGGAATTGCCGGCAACCATCAACATACTAGGTCAACAGTGAATTTTGGATATTCGATAAATGAAGATGGCGGAGACCAAGGGAAAAACGTTTCTTGGTGATGTCAGACTTTGCGAATCGAGTAATTCGTCAGCGCCCGCGGTCGCGTCGTTAGCGAATGCTCAATTCACTGTACGCGACGCGACCGCGGACACTAGCAAGTCGCTCGTGGCGAACCGCCTGATTTGCAAAGCCTGACATCGGCCTATGAGTTTCGCACAAATTTTGCTTGGCCAAGAAAAAAAAAGCCGGCAGGAAAGCAAAAATTTCTTCCTGTTGGAGCCTGCTTCCACTCACAGTAGTTACCCTTCTTCAGCCTTCTATCGTATCATTTGCTTTTGAAGGAATCTGCCCACCTTTGGATCCCTCTGTCGTCGAGCGGAGAGGTTTGGGGTTTAGATATGACAAAGGAACGGCAGATGGGTACATTTTCTACAAAAATTTGAAAAAAAAAATCGTCAAAAATAACTCCCTCGCTTTCTCCACAACACTACCCTTCATGTTTCACCATCGCACCCTCCTCACTGAAATCTCAAATTCCCCGTTCCTTGGTATTCCTCGTTGGTATATTTAGACACACGATTGACCCTGGTGGGGATATCAACCAGCCACTTCAACGCTATCAATTTTTTCAGTAGCAGTGAGTGAAACATTTCTATTGGTTCTGCTTCTGACTCGTAGACGAGTGGGCGAGCTCGAGTGGCAGGCCGAGCTCACCACAAAGCAAAAAAATCAACTTACTGATGGGCGGAAGAACTATGGATGATTTGTGTGGACGATTCATCGGTGCTATAGAAACAACGGAAACCCGAGACGCCCGTCTGAAATTGTGTGGAAATAAAGAATATGAAAAAAAACAACTAAAAATGATCCGGAAAATATCGTAATCCGGTTCAAGTGATAAGCGGAACATAAGGCGTCGAACTCGAACCCGTACTCATTCTTTCTCAGCACCTTGTTTGTCCACTATAAGCCGACATTGGCAGCGATTTACCAACTGAAAGAGCTGAATATTCCCTGTTTCAAATTGCTTTTGTCTTCTTTTTATCAAGTGGCCGTTACCACGCGCACGGTCTGTGGCACCAAATCCATAATCGTGCGCCATCCAGGCTAACCCAACTTTCCATCCCCTCAGGGTTTGTTAACGACACGTACAGAACTTCATAGCTCATGGAGTGAACTAGGAAATATGGAAGCGAAGGAGAGAATAATACAGAGCCGTAGGGTTTTGCCTAATCACTTCTCGCCTCGTTGTTAAATGATTTCCTTGCTGCCCATGGTTTCCTCCAGCACGGAACTGGGTCATTACTTCTCGACCTGAGTATCCACTGAAGTGAAATTTGAGAGACACACGTCACCTCAGATGAATGTAGGCGCTTAAGGAGTTCCCAAA